ATCCAAAGAGATGGCTGGTTGAGGCAGCTAGCCTCCTATTTTATTTATAGAGCTATTACACAATCTCAACATGCCCTTAGATTTTTTTGCTGAACCACTTAACCCAAGGGTGAAATGGTCAATCTTGAGATTGGTGCATCTGACGTACACGAGTTCTTCATGACTTTGCTTCGCCTTGATGCAAGCTTCACAATGATGCCAGTTGCTGCCTTCCGTTCCCGCTAGAACTCCAACTGAGTTTTGAGGCCCAAACCCGAAAATAGTTTGTCGATGGTTTTGAGGCCCAAACCACCAAACCCACTGGGGAGAAGTGTATCCGCTACGCCTCCTCCATGATCTCGACGTGTGTCACCATCCGTACGCGATCGCCCAATCACCAAGTCCTCCAATGCCTCTACTTGACTTGGTCAACAGAAGTCTTGACTTGGTCAACACGGTCTACTCCTCCACTTGTACCCTTGCTCGTCGATGTCCCCAAGTGTCAGCCACCCACGGTCAGTCTCTCGTCCCTCTTGGTTCCTCAGTCAAAGCCTCCAGTCCATCCTTCACCGCTCCCAGTCCATCAGCACGGCACGACTCTACTTGACCTTCTCCATAGCCGTCGACTGTCTCTGTGCTCCACACCTACGCAACACAAGCCAAGAGACATGAACAACGCCACTCGCTCCATGGATAGTCTCTAAACTCAACCAAAGCTTAATCATCTCCTGTCAATCACTCGTCATCAACTCGACACACATGGGCACGTACCAACCATGTGTTCGCACTCGTATTATAAGAGCACCCTCAAAAATAAAGTTGACTCATATGAAGTTAAATATAATATAAAAATAGAACAACCTAACATGCTAGCATATATTAATGTATGAGCTCAACTCTTTATAAAGAGCTACCTATTTGCATTTTATCATTCTCTCTACGTCACACCCGCCTAGCCTATGGCCACACTGGCCCATATACTTTCACCTCCACCCAAAAGACATTGGCCTCTACCATGAAGCCGTGAAGATAGAACGCATGAGCAAGCACTAAGTTTGCCCTCCCCTCCTCCCCCTCCCCCTCGGCGCTTTGTGTGGATGGAAGTCTTGTTCCCACGAGTGGGGAAGTGCCTGACCACGTGCGTTATAATAGAACTCAATGCATATTAGAATTAGACTCCCTTATCATCGCTAGACGCGAGTTGTTCTAACTCATATAAGCATGCTTACGAGTCTGTGTCCATATGAGATACGAAAGGCATGACAAAATACGTCTTGGAATCAAGCTATGTATCAATCATCGTTAGGCACAAGCTGTTATAACTCGTATGAGCACGAGTCATATAAATCTGGACAGAAGAAGATCAAGTTGTACCCTCATTGGTTTTAGTGATTAATTATCTAGGTGTAGCATCCTACATGCGCCAGAATGAGTTCCCTTCTCATGCTCGACTTCTACCGTTGCTAAGCAACTAAGCAATAAGCAATTAAGCATTTCCATTCTTATTGTTTAGATGAAAGGCTTCTACAAGATTAATGAGTGACTCTAACTGTAGAGTGAGCAAGATTAATAACCAAACTACATGTAATGCATAACTCATAATGAAACTACATAAGTATCCAAAATAGGGTTTATAGTAGTGGGGTGCCTGCCTAATTGTGCTACCATTCAGACGTCTAGAGGCTGACAATGATGACTTATACAAGTACATGATCCTTACTCGAGACGTTCCTGAAAGAATAAGGAAAACGCAATGAGGAGATATCTCGACAATCAAGATAATGAGAAAGGATATGGGTGCATAGGTTAACACTGGGAGCTTAGGAAGAGACATCGAACTGTGGCCCTATTGTTGCACTATTTGGTAATGGATATAAACTAGTATGGGTGGCCTCTTGGGTAAACTTGCTAAACAATCTCACACTCTCTGTGTACTGCCGGACACTCCATCCTACTGACGGACACTCTGCTATGTTGGGTACTAAGGTGGGTTGTCCCTGGGTTGGTTCTGTTTAGGTTGACGGACACTCCGTGGAAATTACGGATACTCCGATAGGTTCAGGACTTAGTCACTTCTAAGGTTGTTGCTAACATCGGATGGCCCGGTCGACTGACGGACATTCCGGTGTGAGCTAGGTGCTCTCGGGTTGCTGGGTTTTGTCTTTTATAATTCAGTGGACACTCCGTGATGTACCACTGACACTACGGTGGTCTAAGCTGACACTACACCACGACACAGATTTGCCTACACTTATCTGTTGGCAAATGATTGGTTTTAACAACACACTATGTGTTGGTAATTGTACAACCTTTTTAAAGTCACGTAAATTGTCGGCAATGATGTTGTATGGCTACAGGTTAACTGTCGGCATTTCTCTTAGGACAATGAAACTGTCGGCAAATGTTTTTAGACAGAATAAGTGTCAGCGTTTCCTAGACAAGCCAACTATTTAAGTGTCGGCGAAAGGATATACGGTCTTACTCAGATTCCGGTTTTAGATCTTTTCACCGTATGCACGCGTGGAGTCGTAGTCATTTGGGACGGAGTCTGTTGCCCACGCAAAGGAAACCCAATCCAACCCTGCTCTCTCTCTCTCTGCTGCCCTCGTGTCATGCCTCCCATGCCAGGCGTCATGTGCCTCCCCTTGACACCAGCCGCCTGGTGGTCGCCGCCTCCCATGCCAGTGCATGCCACCTCTGCCTCCCACGCCAGCTCCCGCCGTCGCCGCCCTGCACAGCACCGCCACCCGCCGGAACCCTAACCATGCCAGCCCCTACCGGCTGCCCCCACGCCAACCCCTTCTGCACTGGTGAAGAAAGCTGCATTCGTGGTCGCCCACCGAGGAGGGGCGCATGGATCCACTGACTACAGCTGCATCTCTAGGGAGGGGCGCATAGATCCGGCCTCCTTTACCACCGGGTAACCATTACATTTCTCTACTTGCTAGTTGCTGCTACAGGTTGCCAGAGATTTGGAATAGAATTTCATTAACGAATACTTTTGGTCTTAGGAGTTTATTTGGATCAATCCCCATTCAGTTTTCAACCCCAAAATTTCATTCCAAGTCACATGTTTGTGCGTTCTCCTTCGATCTATGCTTTTCCAACTTCCTCTATCAGAACATGCGGGCAAGGCACTCGATTAAATGACCCTCCTAGATACGGCAGCAGATTTAAGGTACAAAGTGTCTTATTCCATCCTCCAGTTATTTAAATGTTCTATAGAGATTGATCTGCCAGAATGACATCGATTTCAAATAAAATAGAGTATGCATCATTCATTTCAGGGACCCATGTTTTTGAGGCGTCGCCTAATCGTCGCCTAGGCGTCGCCTAGGCGCCAAGGCGTGCTCGAGGGCCTGGGCGTCGTCCTCGCCACGACCTCAGCCTGTATGGCGTCCGCCTCAGCAGATTAGGCGTCGCCTAGGCACGAATGGCGTCGGGCGGACGCCTAGAGGTCTCCAGCGGACACCATAATCTAATTCGCAGGGGAGGGCGCGAAAATGACCGCGGCCCACGGTAAATCGACCGCGCGGGCGCGGGAATTACGACCTACGCGTGGGAAATCGACCGCCTGAGCCATTACCGCGAGGGGGGGGAGGGGAGACCAGGAGAGAAAGAGAGAAGGCGGCGGGCGGACCTCCTGCTCCGCTTCGCTGCTCCTCCGCTCGCTAGCTCGAGTCCACCGGCTGGCCTCCCCTTCCGAGAAGAAGCTGCCCAGGGCGAGGGGAGACCGGGAGAGAAAGAGAGAAGGCGGTGGGCGGACCTCCTGCTCCGCTTCGCTGCTGCTCCGCTCGCCAGCTCGAGTCCACCGGCCGGCCTCCCCTTCCGAGAAGAAGCTGCCCAGGGCGAGGGGAGACCGGGAGAGAAAGAGAGAAGGCGGCGGGCGGACCTCCTGCTCCGCTTCGGTGCTCCTCCGCTCGCCAGCTCAAGTCCACCGGCCGGCCTCCACCAAGAAGAAGCTACCTCCGCTCGCCAGCTCGAGCCCCCTCCAAAGATTTGCCTCCGGTCATGCTGCGCCGCTTTGTGGTATGCCCCCGCCTACTCGCTACGTGAATATAGTAATGCCTCGTATGCCCGCTTTGCTCTCTGCTTTTGATCTGAATTTTTGTATGCCTCGTTCTCGTGCTCTGCTATTGACCTCAATCGAATATTGTATGCTCATCTTTGGATGCCCGTCCCCGCCTCCTCCCTTCTCTAATATTTATTCTCACTTTCATGGCTATGCTGCTTCTTGCTTTTGTTGATGCTTGCTTTTTATATTATATGGGTACTCACATATACAAATGCACTGCTTGTGCTTGGGCTATCACACACCCCTGCTACAACACAAAGCACAGATCTTTCTTTGATCCCAAGATCGATCCAAAGAAGCAACATGGCAAGCACAGGTTTGAAGTACACGAGTATGATCCCAAGATCGATCCAACAAGGAAAGCAAAGTCCAATGATCCGAAAGTAGAAATATAGCTCTTGGCGGGACCACCTTTAGGAGAGACTGGTGACATGTATCCTGTGTGGACATGAGGGTTCAAGAGGCATAAAGAGGTTCAAGCAACATTTGGCTGGTGGATATGGAGATATTATCCTTTGTTCAAAAGTTAGCACCGAAATCGGGAAAGAGATGGAAGCTTACTTGCAAAAGAAGAGAAGAAGGCCTTTGTACTTGGATGGTATTGAGGAGGATGGGGAACCGAAGATGAAATTGTGGAGGTAGCAATTTGCGGATGTACAAGCAAAGAAGACAGAAAAAATGCCACACCAAAAGTGGATGCAAAAAAAACCAAGTTCGGGACACCCGCTAAGAAAAGGCATGCTATCTTCCAATTCAAGGCTTCAACACTAGCGAGTGTCAATTCTACACCAAAGACACCAAAGACCAATGCAACAAAGTCAGGTTGTTGGTATGCTTAGAAGAACACACGAGCAGATAGTAGATCAAAGGCGCGTGCAAAGGACTTTCACCCCACCATTGAGTCCAACACAAAGACTAAGGAGGAGAAGCAATATGTGGATATGCAATGGGCACTTTGTGGTTCATGGAGTGTGGTGTAGCCTTTAATGCAGCAAATTCAAGGCAATTTGAAATTGCTTGTGAGGCAATAGCCCAATATGGTTCAGGTACAAGCCTCCAACTAACCAAAGCACTTGGTGACCCTTTGCTCCAAGAATGTGTTAAGGTGACAAGTGACATGAGGAAGGACCATGAGCAGGCCTGGAAGCAATATGGTTGTACACTAATGTCGATGGATGGACTGATATGAGAGGGCGCCACCTGATTAATTTTCTTGTGAACAACACCCGAGGGAACGTGCTTTTCTGGAGTCGAGTTGATGCATCAAGTGAAGTTCATAGTGCAACAATGCTAGCTGATTTGTTACAGGAGAAGATTGAGGACATTGTAAGGGACAATGTTGTTCAAGTTGTGACCGACAATGGCGCTAACTATAAGGCTGCTGGTAAGATCTTGATGGATAGGATTCCCACACTGTTTTGGAGTCCTTGTGCTGCACATTGCTTGGATCTGATGTTGGAAGAAATTGGGAACTTGAAGGCATTCAAGAAACCTATTGCACGTGCTAAGCGTGTCACCAACTTCATTTATAGGCATGGAAGGCTTCTTAGTGCAATGAGGGCTCAAACAGGTGGGACTGATCTTGTTAGGACAGCAAAGACTCGATTTGCCACATCATTTCTGACATTGAAGAGTTTGTACAAGAACAAGGATGCCTTGAAGAGCTTGTTTGTTAGTGAAGCATGGATCGGGAACAACTTGTGTACAATCTGCAGCAGGTCAACAAGTGCAAGACATTGTGCTATCTCTCGAGTTTTGGAACTCAGTGAGAAGATTGCCTAAGAGCTTCAAAATTTCTCTCTTAATTGTTTTGAGGGCTGTTGATGGTGATGAGAAGCCTGCAATGCCAGAGGTATGGGCTCTAATGAATCATGCAAAAGAGAGGATAAAGCAAAGCTTCAATATACCAACCAAGGATGGCCTACTCAAGATCATGGAAATTATTGAGAGGCGTTGTGTGAAACAAATGGACCATCCATTGTATGGGGCTGCACTATATTTGAACCCGGGAAAATTTTTTCCTCTGATAAAAGCTAATGATGATGTCACTGTTGGGCAGCTAAGAGGTTGTTTTATTGAAGTGCTTGGAAGAATGATACCAGATGTGGAAACACAAATGAAGATCAATAGGCAGGCCATTGAGTATGAAGAGCAACATGGAGAAGCCTTCTCAAACAAAATGGCAAAGGAAAGCTATGACAAAATGAATCCTCGTAAGTGTTGTTTATCTCAGCTTGTAAATTTCAGCAACTTAATTGCATTCCAAACACCTAATATGTGTTGTTCTTTTCATCCAGTTGATTGGTGGCGTTCTTATGGTGGCCGAGCCATTGAACTACAAAGACTTGCTAAGCGTATAGTTAGTCTTTGTGCTTCATCCTCAGGATGTGAGAGATGTTGGAGTACCTTCAGTCATGTGAGTATCCTTGTGACTAACAGTTTATATTTAGATGCATACAATCTGATTTTTTGTTTTGCTTCCCATCTGATTTTTTTGTAGATGCATACAAAGAAAAGGAATAGGCTGTTGCACAAGAGATTGAATGATATTGTCTTTGTTTCATACAATCGGAAGATGAGAACAAGGTTTCACTTAGGCGTGAGAAGGCAGGCAAGAAATATGACCCTTGGTCATTGAGGAGTTCGATTGGGACAATGAATGGGCTGATTCATTGCATGTGCCTGCTCCGGGTGCTCGAGGGTCTGATGTTGTTGATGACCTCACATGGCAACATGTTGATGAAGCCATCGGTGCATCACAAGCGCTTCAGGTCGTAACCTTCCTAGGAGAGCTACTGCTCTGTTCGAAGATTATAGACGCCTTGAAATGTTCCCTGCTGCTGCTGCTGCTGAAGATGGCGAAGAGGAAGACGAAGTTGAAGACCCACATGATGATGCGTAAGTGAGCGAGTGTGAAGAAGGCGGCAATGTTCTCACTCTCGATCAAGACGACGCTGCTGATCTTGATGAGTTTGATGATGGATTTTGAGTGCTAAAACAGTAGATTTGCACTCACCCTTTTTGTGTCCTACACCCTTGTCCTGCACTCATGTTGTATGGCTTTGGTGTAGTTGACTAGTAATTAGAATGCTTTAGAGTCCAAGTGCTTTCGAGACTTTCAGGTCTCTAAGTTTGTGGACTATTAGAGACAAACTATGATGTCATTTGTCATGCTCATGCATGAACTAATGCACTAAGCCACTAATGCTTGCTAATTTGTTGTATTGCCTCTTGTGTATTGTTTCTTATTTAATTCTCAGCAGCTGGTAACAATGTAACATGTTCATTTACATTTCTTCATGTCATAGATTGCTGAATTTTGGAATTGTCATGTAGTTTGCTTCAAGGGGGATGGATGCTACATGGGAGAAGAGCTTTTGGAAAGGGAAGAAAGGAACCTGGGCTCCAGAATTGGGAACAAACCAGGTATGTATGTGCTGCACTTACTATATAAAACTCTAGCTTACAGCGCCTTACAATGTGTGTATGGCGTCGCCTAGGCGTCCGCCATAAACACCTAGGCGTTGTGAAGGGGGTCGGGCGCGGCGCCTCGCCGCGGTGCCTCAAAAACATTGTCAGGGACGTCCTCATATCAGAGCCATGGGAAGATAAAAAACAACTACTGATAAGTCTACAAATAGAGATTCCAATGGAGATTTTTTTAGTGCAGAAATATTAAAACCTCCCCTCAGTTTTTCTTACTTTTTTGTACTCTATAAACTAGGAGTACAGGCATCCGGTCACCATTCTAGAGGATTTAGATATGATTTAAGTTCATCTTATATAGATAATACACCTCTTTTAGTTAGATTTATGTGAAGCAACTCATGGGACACATTTTAAATTAACTTATGCACCAACATCAGTCTTGCCAATATTTTTTTTTCCAATTCATACAAAGACCTATATGTATTAGGGATGAAAATAGGACAGATATTTCTCGACATCTGAAAAAACTAAGGGAATAATTCATGTTTCCTGCTGCCTATATTTTATAGATTGGGCTAGGTTTCGGTGCTCTTGGTATCCATCTAAAATATGTCACATTACAGTTGGTAATATTTTTGGCTTAAAGCATCTGCAGATAAGTAGGAATTGTTGCTTAGAATTACTCAATGACAAATATATGTACCTTAAGCTTAAATTCCTTGTTATTTGAGGTCAAACAGTTTTTTACATTTATAGGATCCAGACAAGAAAGCAATCTTCACTAACTGATGTTGAAACTCCAAGAGCTGTTTGCTTCTAGCTCAGCCATCCATTTTGTAATTCTCTTGGTTGTCCAACTTCTTTTGCAACATAATTGCTCTCCATTCCTCAGTGTTGTGTCAACTCACCATCCTAGCCTCTTTGAACTTGCTAACAGCTTCTCCAGCTCGCCCATTGCAAGATCAAATGATTCGATGTCCCTGGCATGACAAAGAATTCTGCAAACTAAGGAATAACCATGTATGTGTTTCTTAGATATATTCTATGTTTCTCTACTTATATATGTAGTTAATTTTATTATCCACTGCTATTAGTTCCTAAGTTTTCATCACATTATCATCAGCGAGGGCTCTCTGTTCTGATTTCCTCCCTTTGTGCAAATAAGGAGGGCCCCAAATATGTTTTGCCTTCCGAAGTATGTCAATTATTGTTCTTTAATTGAAACCAATGTGAGAGCAGGAGCAATATTGCACATTTGGAATGCATTATGTGCCTATTTGAGCCATGCGTGATATACTTATTTGTTTAGCAAGCTTTTCAGTAGGTAATGGCATTCTTATCTTACAAGGCTTCTGTGTTTCCAGGTGATAGTGAGCATAGTTGGTCTTCTTCTATTTGGGAAGGTGTTGGAGCCTTCATGGGGAGCTAAGGAGTTGCTCAAGTTTATTTTTATTGTTAATCTCTCAACTTCAGCTTGTGTCTTCGTAACTACTATTGTGCTGTACTACATAACACAGGAGGAGAGCTACCTGTAAGTGTCACATTTCATTAATTACTAATCCCTCCATCCTAAAATATAAGGAATCGAATCAATTTTCAGACAAATAAGGAGTCTGACAAAATACCGCATTACCCTTCACTAATTAGGAGAGAATGAGTAGTTCGGTTATTGCTTTCCTAGTTTAAAGGGAATCTTTACATGTTATTATTTCCTACCATGAATTAGAGAGGAAAGGTAAGGTGTACTTAGAAGGAAAGGGGTGTTCGGTTAATAAAGACAGAGCAGAGAGAGGAGCTGAGGACCTAGAATACCTTATATTTTGGTAAAAATTTTGAAATCTCAATTCCTTATATTTCAGGACAGAGGGAGTAGCTTGCTAGTCAAATAGTTTTTTTTTATCCGATTTACATGGGCGCTTTGTTGGGAGATGCAGCAACATGATGTTTTCTGATTCTTTTCAATAGTGGATATTCATGATTTCAGTTCATAATGATTTTCTCGACCTAATTATACTTTACCATGAAAATTGACATTACATCTATTTGATTCTGCAGCTACACACCTGTTTCTGGGTTTTATGGAGTTCTTTCAGGACTACTGGTGGGCATCAAGCAAATTTTACCCGATCAGGAGCTTAATCTTTTTGTGCTCAAGATTAGTGCAAAGGTGTTTGATCACTTCTGTAATGAAATTTGTCTAATTGTGCAATCAATTTTGATTATCTCCCAAGGTTTCCTAACATTTTTTCTGTTTATTTAGTGGATTCCATCTATCATTGCATTTATCTCTGTTGCCGTAAGCTTCTTCATAAAGGAATCGATGTCATACCTTCCCATCATAGTATTTGGCATCTACATGAGTTGGATTTACCTGCGTTACTTCCAAAGGAGATTAGAAGTAGGCCTTAAGGGGGACCCAAGTGATGAATTCTCATTTTCAAGCTTCTACCCTGGATTTTTAAGGTACTGTTTTTCACAAGTGATCTTGGTGTAAAGCAGTGGGAAATGCAATGCAATAATTCTGCGAAGCGAAGAACATTTTAGAGGACCCCTTGCTCAGCGATGGAGACACGGATGACTAGAGTTCCAATGAAGTACGTCGGGCTCATTAAGGACATGTACAACAATGTTGTGACTAGAGTTCGAACAAGTGATGGAGACACGGATGACTTCCCGATTAGGATAGGACTACATCAAGGGTCAGCTTTGAGCCCTTATTTGTTTGCTTTAGTGATGGATGACGTCACAAGGGACATACAAGGGGACATCCCTTGGTGTATGCTTTTCGTGGATGATGTAGTGCTAGTTGATGAAAGCCGGACAGGAGTGAATCAGAAACTGGAGTTATGGCGGGAGACTTTGGAGTCCAAAGGTTTTAGACTCAGCAGAACTAAAACTGAGTATATGAGATGTGACTTCGGCACTACTACTCGGGAGGAGGAAGATGTTAGTTTGGAAGGTCAAGTAGTGCCTAGGAAGGATACCTTTCGATATTTAGGATCAATGCTATAGAGGGACGGGGACATTGATGAAGATGTTAGCCATAGAATCAAAGCAGGGTGGATGAAGTGGCGGCAAGCGTCTGGTGTCCTATGTGACAAAAGGGTACCACAGAAGCTAAAAGGCAAGTTTTATAGGACGGCGATTAGACCTGCTATGTTGTATGGTGTAGAATGTTGGCCTACGAAAAGACAACATATTCAACAGCTAAGTGTCGCGGAAATGCGTATGTTGCGTTAGATTTGCGGTCATACAAGAAGGGATCGAGTTCGGAACGGTGATATACGTGATAGATTAGGGGTAGCACTAATTGAAGAAAAGCTTGTCCAACACCGGTTGAGATGGTTTGGACATGTGCAACGGAGACCCCTAGAGGCACCGGTGCGTAGTGGAATCCTAAGCCAGGATAGTAACGTGAAGAGAGGCAGAGAAAGACCGAAGTTGACTTGGGTAGAGGCAATAAAAGGAGACTTGAAAGGATGGAATATACCAAAAGACTTAGCCTTAGATAGGAGTGCTTGGAAGACAGCTATTCACGTGCCTGAACCTTGATTGCTTCTAATGGGTTCCAACTCTAGCCTACCCCAACTTGTTTGGGACTTAAAGGCTTTGTTGTTGTTATTGTTGCCTTGCTCAGCGATGTGTGAATCCCTAATTTAAGATGTTAGAAGAAAATTTTGGATTACCATTGCAATTAAACATAACATCTAACTCTACCTTCAAAAGCATATATGAAGAGAAAGAGTTAGGAAATGGCTGTAGAGATATCAGATATAGGTGCTCATCCAACCTTTTTTCGATGCTAGAGGTGGCTCCTGGTCCCTAGTAATAATGCAGAACTCTAATGCTAACAAACCAACCATATCATTTTATGGATTCCTAGCTATAAGGTTCTGCAGAAGAATTGTCCTTGGATTTTTTTTTCTAAAAGTTACGATTGCTAAACACTTTACAAATAGTACAAGACTCAAACAAATCTAGAAATAAATAGACCTAAACTTTGTTTTTTATTTCATAAACTTATTGAAATATTGCAGGCCAATTTTGGACCCTATTGCTTCCATATTCCACAAACTCTTCTGTGGGCGATCTGCAAGACCTGAAGGCACAGGCTAGACATTGGATGGGTCATGGTTCCCTAGTTCGGGGTCCATTGAGGCAAACAGGAGGAGGTGCAAATTCCTTTTTTTCTCATCGTTTTAGCCATCCATCACTGAAACCATTTGCTTAGTAGAGCACATGCTTTTGGTTTCCTACCCGTTGAGCACCATCACGAAATGATTGCTACCCATTGATCAGTCTTGATGTTCTTATCTCGGGCATCTCATTTGATTTGATTATTGTCCATTCCCTACAGAGAAAGGGGTCAAGGGCACTAGAGCAGAGACTGGCGGAGAAGCTGGCCGTGGTCAGGAATGTGGAGGGCACGCCTCCACCGAATCAGCAGCAGAAGCAGCGGGAGGACGCGGAGGATGATGCTTCTAATAAAGTCTGAACCCTTGTGTCGGAGAGCTGGAGAGGAAATCTTCTGTCAAATTTTCCTTGTATTTTTGCGCATGTCGTATGGAAGATCTAATATATTATTTATACAAAAATCAAGTGAATTTGTTCAATGTGATACCTTATATATGAGCAAAAGTGGATTTGTCAAATTATTTTAATTGTAATTATATCTATGCAGTTTTGCCGACAGTTTTTTTTGGACAGGCTATGGTTTGTAAAATACCTTGGAAATGGTTTGGCCAACAAACAAACTGTCGGAAAAGGTTTTAACTATCGGCGTAGGTCTTAACTGTCGGCACAGGGTTAACTGTCGGCGTAGGTAGACTGTTTGCCTACACATAAAGTGTCAGGGATTCTATTAACTGTCGGCAAAAGTTTTGCTGACGGCTTCTAGCGCGACTGTTTCTAAACTATCGGGAAAACTTTTCGTGGGAGGTTATCTATCGGCAAAGGTGCCTTTTGCCTACAATAGAAAGTGTCGGCAAAAGTATGTTGTGTTATAGTGTGACTAAGGCTAAGGCTTCCTAGTGGCTTTTTAGGGGCTTGATGGACACTCCTTTGATTTGGCAGACACTCCGTCAATCGGGCGACAGAACCTATGCTCTTGGGAGATCCTGGGTTCAAGCTTAGATTTGTGGAGTTGTGCATCATGCATGTGCCCAACATTCCTAGGGTAGCTCAGGTGGCTCACTTGGCTCAAGGTAGCAAGGTTTTTAGCTAGTTTCACTATGTGTGGCTAGGGCTTTAGGATTCAAACCAAAACTGATGAGAAAAGAGAGATAAACCTTGATATCGAGATGTGAATCCTTAGCTCTGTGATTCGAGAGGTTCCATAGCCAAAAGTTGAAGATCCAAGCTTTTGTCATTATCACTTCTTCATCCAAGAGATTGGTCACTCATGGGCTCCTTCTTGCAAGACACCAAAAGATGAATCAAAGATTAATCCAAGAGATGCTTCAATGCTTGAGTTAAATGAAGATTTCCTAAACTTACTTGCATATGATGGAATCACCATCAGTAAGAAATCCTTCCATCCTTCAATCCCTTCTCTCATCCCATCTCTCTATAGTTCTAGGGTTCATCCTTGTTCTTGGGGTATAGAGAGAGAGGGGGAGTAGCAAATGAATGGGTGGGTTTGTGAGAGGTTGTGCTTCAACTGATGAAAGATCCCAACTCGTGCTGACATGTGGGTCCAAGGTCATAAATGTAAAATACACTTATTTCCACTCAGCTTTGTACTGTCTCAGTTTCTATTGGAGGGTCTGACATCCTAGCGAATCATCTGGTAGTCTCTATCTTGTGTTGAATTGATTAAGTCATTGAATCATGGATGTTAATGGCTAGTGTATCATTCCCACATGTGTTCTTGAAATGTAATTGGTTTTGATGATGTCAATAGGATAAGCTTTAATCCATGTAAAGGTTCTCTTTCTCAATGTCAGGTGGGTGAATGGATTCTCTGTGTTTCCTCTTGTGTAACACGACATGGATCTCCGCATGACTTTTAGTAGTTGAACTCTCTCAACATCCAAAAAAATGAGTGCCTAGGTTGTAACGGATTTCGGGTCTTTATAACTCTCCCCTCCTTAGAAAAAGCTCATCCTCGAGCTTTCCCGAGGCACTGTTGGGAAATGCACTTGGGAAAGTTTAGGGTTCCATTTACGCACCGTAAGGTGTTCCTCTTTTTGTGCTCGATGACTTCTTCCTCTCTAGAGTCGCAAAAGGGGAGAGAGGGTCATCTTTCCTAATCCTCAAATTATGATGACTTTCTACTACTCGGGGTCTTTTTACTCCACCTTTGCACACTTCCAAAGTTAGAAGTTTGTGGATAAGTTCTGGTTTTCCAAAAACATATTCCTAGGGCTCATCCTGTCTTCTAGCGGACAGTTTGACCTGCTTGGTGGATAGTCTGGTGTATTCGACAGACTTAGCAGTTTCTCAGGGTTCAGTTATCTAATTAGCGGACGGTCCGTGATACTTTCGGATCCTCCGTCAGTCCTCAAATTATAAATAGGCCGACAGGGTCAGTGGGGGTCACTTTCCTTCCCTTTCTCTACCCGACCACGTCGCTATCGCCTGCGCCCTCTCCTTCGCCATGCACGTGCTCTGGGCGGCTCGCCATGCACGTGCTCTGGGCGGCTCTCCTTCACCATGCATGTGCTCTAGGCGGCTCTCCTCTTTTACTTCATTCCCGTTTATTTTGGTTGCACTTAGGGTTATGCCGATCTGTGGTTTGGTTAGGGTTTGGGGCAAACCATCTTAGGAATTTGATAGAACATCTTGGGCACTATCCTTGGGCATGGTTCGATGAAGTAGTACAGCGTGAGTATGGAGGTTGGAGGGTTCCAAATTTTCTTGCGGTTACTATTCTTATTGGTGCTGGCCTCGATAATAACGGATGGTCCGTTGGGTTGGCGGAAGGTTCCACTGAATCTGCACTTGTCCTGTAGAACTATGTTCTTACTGACATGACTAGGGACTATTGACGGTCACTAACACCCATTTTGGCCATCAACATTCCACCCAAAAGCATGGCAAAGTGAGGTAAATCATCATCACATGTGTAGAATTTTGTTTAAATTTCACCTAGTTCCACTTGTGCTTGCAGAATTATTTGTATGCAGGAAATATGGCAAAAATAGGCCAAAATGGTGACAAACATGGACACATGAAGCAAGTGGATGTGACAGGAGGCCGGGGCCCACTTGGCAGGCCGCTCGGCCCCCCAAGTGGCCCTGCCACGTCACCGATTCGTGGGAGCTACTCCAGAGCCAATCATAAGCTTCCATTTAAGTCAGTTTTATCAATGGACAAGATTTGTTGATGGTGGATCCATGGGCCTATTGTCATAGACTTGGGAGTCTCCACTAACTTACCAACTGACCTACATCCGAATTTCACCATGTGCTGTCCAAGTAATCGCCATTGGGAGCCAACCATCGCCGTTGGATCAAGAGGCGGTGGAACGGAGGGCCGGCCGGCGCCCTCCTAGCGCTGCTCGGTGCCCTAGGTCCTCCACCGACATCCTGGCTACCTACAAGTACCCCCCTCACTCTACACTATAAATAGAGGGTGTGGAGCTCGGTGGAAAGACGCCCCATTCATTTCCAAGCACTCCAAACTTGTCTTAGCTTTCTAGCTTAGCATTAGCTAGAGTAGTAGTCTAGTAGTGGAGTAGAGAAAGAGCGGAGCTTCTCTCAGAGTCCGGAAGAGTCTTCTAGGTCTGGTATAGCTCCTTTGTAATTCTTTCATTTTAGCATTTACTTTATTTAGTATTTATTTTAAGTAATTTATTCTAGTATTATTGCTTTGCTTTGTACTTAGTCATTAGTGTTCATCATTAGTGAGCTTAGGTGCTTGTTGTTTAGCATTAGTAGCATAGGCTATCTTATAATTAGTAGCTATTCGTTAGTACCGGTTCCACCATCTGGTTAGGGTGCTTTGATCTCATTTCATCAGAGTTCGGATCGAAGTAGTAAGCCTATAGATTAAGCGTGGTGCTTAGGCTATAGATTACCTGTGGATACGGCTAGGCCTCTAGATAGATTGTGGTAGGTGGTAAGTGGTGACAGCCTTGTCCATCCTCTGTATTCCACCATGATAGGTCTAGTTATTAAATCGTAGGGCTCGTGGCAGACCTTATCTATTTAACTCTCCTAGTTGGTAGGCGGGCTATGCCCCGAAGTACTAGTGCATTTCTTCTAGTCATTTGTTTACCTTAGTTACTAGAAAGATAAATCACTCGCTCTCCCACCTAGCTATCTCTAGGTTGGCTTGTTATTAGTAGTTGGTTTAGGTAGTTCACATTCACCCTTCACTATCATTCACCTACCTAGGATTAACTTAGGCTTTACCCTAGCAATTCTTAGCTAAATATAAATTTTAGCCTTCTGCCTTCCTATAGAAAAAAAATAAATTCGACACTCGATACTCACCGAGCGAAGTGCTACGCGATAGTTCTGTGCGCTTGCGGAATCCTCTAATAGTCGTTAACAAATATCAACAGGACCTCGATGGGCAGTCTGTGAAAGGCCATGGTTGTTCCAAAAAATCAAGCTTTCATGCACTGCTCCATCTTTGGGCAACTAATTGTGCTGACAGAATGTTCCGATTCCTATGACGGGATGCTCCAATGGTTGTATGCTATTCTTGGTTTGCTTGGTGGATACTCCATCAATGTATAACACTTGTTGTTTTGTACCCAATCAACTTTCAATTTGTATCCAACCTTGTGGAGCTTATCTTGCTAGCTTATATAACTTGCATGACTGTTGCATTGTATCATTTTTCATCACACCACTTATAAATCTTGCGCTTTACTCTTATGTCCAAAAGTTGCTAATTCTCAATCATCCTTGCGGTGTTGCAGGTCTGGTGCGGGTCCCAGTCGCTAGCCAGAAAAGGCCGTCCTGATATCCTCTTGGATAAGGATTACAGAGATGATGTTCTTCTAATTGTCATGTCAGCAATTCCTAAGGAACACTTCCATTGGGTTCCAGCCGAGTTTAGCAAGGTGGCTCTGTCCGAACACTTTGGACAAGTTAGGGATTCTCCGACTCCCTTGTTCTTCACCAGGGGCCAATACATGTTGTACCGGGGAGGTATAGACGTCA